TATATATGCTCATATTCATATAATTAAATTGTCTTCATGTTCAGTTTATAATAAATGGTTGTATACAGGGCAGTTATTTTAAGTAAAAAAAAAAGCAGTTATTCATAAACATTTTAATTTATGTTCACATATATAACAATAATGTTCATAATTCCTTAACCTAATATATGTTCAAATGTTCATAAGAAACATATAACATGTTCAGTTATCTTACAAGACTAAAATATGTTACATAAATCAGAATTAAAATAAATATTCATAAAGAAAGTACCAAATGTTCAAATATATAACTTAAAATGTTCATAATCCCATATTTAGACAACATTTGAAAAATTCATAAATCAAAAGCGAGAAAAATATGAATTTCTAGAAGAACAGGCAGCGTCTGACACTTCATTCATTGCATTGCGCCCAAACCTAAATGCATAATCATTGTACATGTATATCATATGTTTTACCGTCACTTCTAACTTATTTCCTCATTAATTCAGACTCCTTTGTTCTAATAAATACGACTGCATCTGTATTCATTGAAATATAATAATAATAGCAAGTATGCTTAAATAACCTAATATACTAGTATATGTTAAGATATATAAAAATAATGTTCAAAATGTCTAACTCAAATGTTCATAAAAAACATATAACATGTTTAGATATCTAAGTTAACTTGACATGTTAAGAATTAAAAAAATATAGATACATAAATTATAAATAAAATAAATGTTCATAAATCAAAGTTAATAGATGTTCATATCAAGATAGTGTGAGTTCATTTAATAAAGGTAGAATGTTCAAAATTATTATAGTTATACATAATTAATAATATTTTTTAAAATTTTATTTTATTTTCTTGCATGTACTTCGTATATATGATTAGTTAGAAATATGGTGATTTTTGTTGTGCATGGACCGAAAAATAAGTTAATTTAAGAGATATGGTGAAAATAAAGATTTATATTGATTTGGATTATGTTTTTGATGTTCATATATATTTATTTTATGTTCATTTTTATAGGCGTCGTGTTCAAATTAAGAACACCACTTGCTGAAATCACATGTTTACAATTATAACCTATGAAATATGAACCATATCGAGATTGAATATGAACACTTGCTCAAAATTATAATAATTATATGTGGTTAATAATCTTATATTAAGATATAAGTTGTTAAATAACTTCATAAATTTAAATGGGTTTTTTTTCCTCAAATTTACTACAACTCTATATGTCTTATTTATCAATTTGATGTTCATATATATCAGGATATTGTATGTTCATTTAGAAAAGGAACAGTGTTTAATATTATTTAATAATATTTTTGTTTACAATATGATGTTCATCACATGAACATCATTGTTCATTTAATAAGCCTCTACAAGTATGACTTATCATCAATATGTGATATTCATATCAAGTGTATGTCCATTAAGAAAATAAAACATGTTCAAAATTATTAGTTGTTTAATTATACATAATTAATAGTTTTTTCAATTTGATGTTCATAACAAGATCATACAGTGTGTTCATATTAATTATATAAAATTCAAATATATTACTCCGTTCCTATGACTTATTATCAATTTGATGTTCATATCAAAATTGTGTATGTTCACTTAACAAAAGGTATATTGTTCAAAATATACATGTTCAAAATTATTTTAATTATACATAATTATTACTAGTTTTTTTATTTATTTTTTTTTTTAATTTTTTGTTTAATATCAAGATCTTGTGTTTATTGTATATCAACTGTACATTCATAATTTTATATTAATATATTTTCAAGTTGTTTTTTTCAATTTATTAAATAACATGTTCATTATTATTACAAATAAAGCAATGGTAGGAAGACTCATTGCCATTCACAAAAATCTGGGTTTTAAATCAAGTTGTTGAAAGAGAAATATTATAGGCTTGAAATAATGAGATTCATAAAACAATTACTTGAGCTATATTTGACAATTCATCTTGAGGAAGGAGGCACATGGAGTTTGAGAAACAGAGATGGGGGTGGAATGAGAAATGAAACGGTAAGAAGAATAGGGGAAGGAAAACTAAAGAGCTTAAAATGTTTAAAACGGTGTCCTTAGGTGGGTGGTGCACACAAAATAATGGTCCACCTTAAAATTTGCGTAATGAACCCAATCATCCTATTTTTACATTTGGGACAACTATTTTATCATTTAAGTCTATTATTTTTATGAAGCCCAAACCTACTCTACACTATAAATACTCTACTTATCCCTAAAATTTTTCCCACACAAAGTCAATAAGTCAAAAGGTTAGTTTTCTCTTTATTTTTCCTTTTCTTTTCCCATTTCTTTTCCCATTTCTTTTTCCTTCTTTCTTCTTATTTATTTTTCTCTTGTTTTCCTCCTTTTACGTGAGAATTTGATCAAGTGGATCCAATTCCACTTATTGCTGCCACGTCACCAAGGCCGCCCCACAACCGACGACTAGCCGACAACCACCACCACCATATCACCCTCCTCCTCCCTTCTCTCTCCCCTCCTTATTTAATTTATGTTGATGATTATTTTTATGGGTTTTGGTTTTATTGTTTTAAACTTTGTTAATTGGTTTTATAATGATATTTTAATGGGCTTGAATCATAATTTTCAGATTAGTAGCTTGGGTTTAATTTTTTAGATTTTGGGTTTATTATAAAGTTAGGGTTTTAATTTATTTAAGACTTTATTTTAGGGTTCTAATATTAATTAATTTGGGGGTTTTATATAATATACTAGGGGGTTTACACACACTACACCCTAGTATATTGCAAGGCTAATATCGACTGTAGACACCTAAAAATGTCCTCCCAAAACCAAACCCGATGATGAACAACCTTTCATCACCATTATTGGTAGGGTCGAGTATTTAATCTCGGGAGTGCTTAAAATCCATATTCAGACAAATATAGCCTGCGAATCAGTCAACAAATCAGTCCAAACATTTATTCAAACATAGTCCAATCCACATTTCAACCCAAACCTTTTTTTTAATCCATTTCATATTATTTACTAATTGAGCCCGATTAATAAATATGTAAACCTTAAACCTAATTAAACCCGAAACAGCTGAAATGACGCACAATTATCCCAAATTAATGACTAATAAAAAGATAAAAATGAACTTAGACGTAATTCCAGAAAAGGAATCTGCCGCATCATGGTAAATTCCGCCGCGTCACGGAAAATTTCGACGTGACACGGCAATATCTGTCGTGACACGACAATTTTCTAGGGTTTAGGCTTCACGACACTTCAATTCTAGGGTTCTGTACCTCAGCCCTCATATTTTCTCAATAAATACGAAGCTGATTTCTCAGTTTCGGGACACCAAATAATTCTCTCTTCCTCTCTTATACACCAAATAATTCTCTCTCTCTCTTATGATCTAGCCTAAATACTATCCTTCCCTATTTTTCCACAATACATCCCTTAAGCACTCCTCGGAGTCCGTACTTTACCTGAGGTTCTAAACTTAAACCAAAGCGTGAAAGGTAGAACTGTTTGAGGGTTTGGCCCCAAATCAACTCTACTTTAATTTAATTTAATTTCCATTGTTGTTTATTATTTTCATTGAAGTTACTAACGCGTTTATAGTTTTATAGTTGCAAACAAACACAATCAAAGTAAGGAATCATGTTCCTTTTGTTCGTATTATATTTTTAACGGTTTTTGTTATGTTTTTCATATATTAATCGTTGTTATCATGGTTAAATTGCTTCCAATATTAATGATGATTTTATTATGTTTATTGATCACCATATTGCATGTTTAAATGGAATATGTAATTGAATATAACGCCTAATAAGATAATTTGGACAACCAGTTTAGGTTCTTTTTTAATCTTGTTATTTAATTGAAGTGATCACTAATATTTTAGAATTATGTGTTGCATTAAAATTCAACCAATTTAGCTTAATAATATTTTGGAGCAAATTAAATCTTTGTTTTCATGCCTTTGAGATTGCAGGAATCACTTTTCACATTAAGAATCGAGTAGAGGCCAATACGGGTGAATGTGACTCCATGACTCACTTCGCACCATCATCCCCGATCCTCCATTCGTGGTTCCAAACCATATAGAGTTAGTAATCTCATGGATTATGAATGGGGTTTAACCTTCACGGGTGAATTGTTGATGCCTATCGTTGTCCATTTACCGTGGTTGCCTTATAATGATCCGTGAACGGTTTACAAGTTCCTTACAAACTAATTGGCGGCTCCCTACTTTGCTTTGTCCCTAATCATGTCCCTAATCGTGTATGTCAATTCTCACTTTCGAAGAGTGCCAAGCATATTACAACATGCTTAATTAAGTAGGCGCGCTTCGAATGGCGCCTACATTGACGATAATATTTACATATTATAATGTCTAACACACTCCCTCAGTCAAAGTGGGAGGAGGACGGATGCTTAGAATGGATCGAAAATCCTTGAAAAATGGAAAAGGAAGACCCTTGTTAAAAATGTCAGCATACTGATATGAAGATGAAACATGTAAGACACGAATATGGGCTAGAGCAACCTTCTCCCGAACAAAATGTATGTCCATTTCAACATGCTTTGTACGTTGATGTTGTACGGGATTATGAGACATGTAAATAACACTAATGTTATCACAGTAGACTATCGAAGCCTTCCGTAAGGGACAATGGAGCTCTAGAAATAAGTTTCGAATCCAAGAGGTCTCGGCCACCACATTGGCAACACCACGATACTCCGCCTCAGCACTAGATCATGACAAAGTGGCTTGGCGCTTAGATGACTAGGATATCAAATTGTCACCAAAAATTTTTTTATAGCTAGAGGTAGATCGATGAGTGTCGGGGCAAGCACCCCAATCAGCATCTGTATAAGAGACGAGCCCAGAAGCAGGAGTAGAAGAAAAATGCATCCCAAAATCAAGAGTACCTTTAACATACTAGAGAATCCGTTTGAGGGCATGAAAATGCGGATCATGTGGGTCATGCATAAAGAGACAAATCTGCTAAACTGCATATGAGATATCCGGTCTAGTGAAGGTGAGGTATTGAAGGGCCCCTGCAAGTTGACGATACAGAGTCGGATTCTCTAAGCGCATACCACCAGTTGCACTTATTTTAGACTTGGTATCGACCGGAGTAGCAACAGAGTTACAACTTGACATATTCGCTCGAGCTAAAATGTCTTGGGCATACTTTCGCTGATAGAGAAACATATTATCCTTGGTGCGAGTAACCAAAATACTAAGAAAAGAAGATAGAGGGCCAAGATCCTTCATAGCAAATTTAGCACTCAAGAGGGAAATAATACGATTTTGTAAGGAGTTAGATGAGCAAGCCAAAATAATGTTATCAACATAAATCAATAAATAAGCCATGGCCGTACCTTGACGAAATATGAAGAGAGAGGTGTCACTCTTACTGTTCACAAAATCAATGGAGATAATGTGAGAAGCAAATCTTTGGTACCAAGCCCTAGGCACCTGCTCAAGACCATATATCGATCGACGGAGGAGGCAAACATGTTTGGGTTTACTCTGATCAACAAATCCAGGTGGCTGATGCATGTATACAGTTTCCTGTAGATGACCATGAAGCTAAGAAAGGCGTTCTTAACATCGAATTGATGAAAAGCCCAATGTCGAGAGACAGCAGACCTAAAACAGTACGGATAGTCGTCGGTTCGACTACAACTAGGACTGAATGTTTCATCACAATCAACGCCGACCTCTTGTCCCTTAACATTGGCCACAAATCAAGCCTTATATCTCTCAAATGATGCATCCGTACGTACCTTGTGATGAAAAATCCACATGCCACGAATCACATTCATATTTGATGGTCTAGGTACCAAATCCCAAGTTTGGGATTTAGTCATAGAATCATATTCATCACACATAGCCGCATACTAGTTTAGGTCCTTTAGAGCAGTAAGGTGAGATTTTATAAGGGGAGAAATAGTATAAGAACTTGTGGAAGTAAGAGCATAGTCCTTGAACTTCGGGTTTGGCTTGAAAATACCTTGCTTAGCTCTAGTTTGCATGGAATGACACGGTTGAACAGTTTGGGCCTTATGCATCAAAGGAAGAGTGGGATCAGGGCCCAAATGGGGAGTAAGGGCCTGATTTGTGACAAATGGGCCTGATGAAGGAGTTGGGCCGGCTGAAGGAGTGGGCAAAGAAGATGGAGGAGATTGGGTATTCCACAGTGGGCCCGTGGCTTATTGAATGGTCTCATGTGCTAACTGTGGACTATTATGCCCAATCTCCATAGGTGAATTATGGGGAGTTGTAGTTTGAGGCCTTGGAGAAGTAGTGGGCCTAACATTGGGCTTAGAAGCTTGAGGATTATCATGTGAAATAGCAATTTCCTGATTGATAAATAAAGGAAGAGATTCATCATCATCAATGGCTAAGAACTTGTAATCATTCAAGTAAGGAGTGTAATGAGCAGAATAAGGGAATTAAGATTCGTAAAAAATAACGTGTCGCAAAATAATGACCTTCTTGGTTGTGAGATCAAGGCATCGATAACCCTGATGAGAAGAGGGATACCCAAGGAAGATGCACGGAGTAGAGCAAGCACTCATTTTGTTAGGAGTAGTAGCTGATAAATTCGGGTAGCAAAGGAATGATCATATGAGGGTGCTCTATTATAGAGAATGTGCATAGAAGTAAGATTATTTAGTAGACGAGTTGGGAGAATATTTAACAAATAGGCGGCTACATGTAAAGATTCGACCCAAAAGGAGGGGGGAAGAGAGGCATGAAATAATAGAGAGCGGCAAATATTATTAATAGTGCGAATCATACGTTCAGCTTTGCCATTTTGAGGTGAAGTGTTGGGACATGAGTGTCAGGTAGAGAAAAGAGTGAAACTATCATTATCATACTCTCGGCCATTATCACACTATAAGGCTTTTATTGGCATCCCAAATTGAGTTTTAACGTAAGCATGAAAATCCAAAAAAGTATTAAACACACTAGACTTTGATTTTAAAGGAAACACCCGTAAGTAGTGAGAATAGTCATCTAAGAAAAGTAAATAATAACGGAAACCAGATTGACTATTGATGGGATATGTAAACAAATCAGTGTGTATGATATCAAATGGAGCATAAGTTTTTGTTTCAGGGTTTTTTGATGTCCTGCAGGAGAGTTACGTCACTAAGTCTGGTTCTCGGCCGGCTTTACCTGCAAAACAACTGAAGCTCCGATTGGTCGGAGTTCCGCCTCCAACGATCAAGTTAGAAAGTGTTCGGAGTAAAAAAGCGGAAAGTAAAATATATTCTCGGATTCCGAGATCAGGTATTTTCTCTGATGTGAGAGTAATATGTTGGGTTTCGCAGTGTCCGACACTACGGAATGAAACCCTCCCAAAATTCGCACACAAATTAATGTAACTACACATGCATATTAATTAATTAACAATCACATAATTAATTAACAAGGAGAGAGAGAAGAAAAGACGATCTTACCCTTGACGCGTGCTTCGCTCTTTCTAAGAGCTTGTACTTGAAAGCGTTAAGCTCCGCAAATGCGTAAGCCTCTGACGGCTCTCACCCTTAAGACCCAACCCGAACGGTCCCTACCCCGAAGCTTAGTCGAGGCTAGACCAAGAATTTAGAGTATTAGAATTAAGGTATTCTCTTCTTGGAGATCCCTTAAAATTTACAACTCAAGTGTCCCTTTCCAAATGCCAAATGATTGGTATTTATAGGGAAGGGAGATCTTGAATTCTAATCTTCCATCAATGTGGGAGAGTTGGTAAAATGCATTTTCCTCAATTTATTTTAATTCAAAAATCAAATCGTCATGCAAGTGAATCAACAAACAACAAGTGTCAAGTGGAGAGCAAGGGGTTAAGTGAGGATCACAAGGGGGGGGGACCATCCACCCCTTGCTCCCCAAGCAAACCACACAAACCGGCTCCCCACACATAACCAATGCACGTATGCCAGCTGGTGCTGCCAGCCTTGGGCGCCAAGGCTGCCTTGCTAGCGGCTGGGCCCCTTGGCTAGGCCTGCTAGCTGGGCGCTGTGCAAGCACGCAACCCAGCACGCAAGCACGCACAACCCGCAGCCCACGCACGCATTGCGTGCTGCTGCTGTTGCTGCGTTACCAGTGCCAGGCGCAGCCCAGCACGATGCTACCTCGCACGCTAGGCCTTCGCACCAGCACGCAATATCAAGCCTCAGTGATGCGGGCTGCTAGTGCTAGCGAGCTCGCACATTCCCTGCGACCATATGCGAGGCCCACCAAGCACTTGCATGCTGCTGGCCTTACGATGGTGCGGCTGGTGCTGCTAGCTTGCCTAGCATGTGCGGCCAGCCTGCGATGTGCCAGCTTGGCCGAGCAAGCTATGCTTGCTTGCGGGCTGCTATGTACGAGGCACTAGCATGCTAGCACGCCTAGCGTGCCAGCGATGCTGACCATGCCGCACCAGCCAGCGGCATGGTGCGGCTGCCTTGGCTACCTCGAATTGCTCAGGGCGTTTCGAGGCTAGGGGTATATTTGTAATTTGTTATTTGCTTGATTTCTCGTCCCGTCGAAACCTAAATTTGAATCGATCTACGACACTCGTTTTTCGACGCTCTAAGCTCGGAATTTGACGTCTATGTTCGTAATACTCTAGTGACTCATTTAATCCTTCGGATTAATTCGTCGTTTCGGTTCGGTTACTCGATTGGGTGTAACCCGAAGGGTTCAGTCAAGATTAAGCTGTAATATTAATTATACATTAATATTACTGATCGGAAGCGGCCTCCAGCTAGGCATTCCGATCACTTGACCTAACTGAATAATTAACTTTCTAATAATTCCGAACCCTCTATCCGAATAATACACTTGTTTAAGGACACCATTCCTTTCAATCTCCCACTTGTCCTTCCGGACAAGTGCGCTGTTAGTGTATAGCCCATTTCCTATGTCACTTAATGTCTCTTCATGAATTATATGGTAAGATTCTTCGTCATCCTTATTTCGTCCAGAAGTGTTTCTCGATTTCCTAGTTCGACTGTCAATTAATAGATGATTGCTAAAATCCATCTGAGCACGGCCATGCATTTTCACAATCTTGCTCTTCGAGAGGCCTTGTAAACAACAAAGACATGTTCCCTATTGTTAATAGAGGGACATTCCTAGTCTTGTATTGTTAGCTTCCCTTACTAAGAGGACCTAGTCGCCCGAGTGTTGCCGTTATAATCCCCATTTACGGCAGACGTTTGACAACATCAAAACGGACCAATACTCAAACAAGAGAACTTACAATACTCATGGTCGAGGAAAAAGGTTCCGATAGCTATAATGAGAAATATACTTATGAAAATTTTAAATCTCTTAAAGTATTCTCATAAGTCGATCCGGTATAGTTCCAAACAAATACCTGTGCAAATAATTTATGACAATCATGTCCTTGTAGCACAAGAAACGGTGCTATAAATCATGCTACACACTAATCTCAAGTTCTCATCAATCGTCCATCATTTAAATGACCTTGATTCGGGATAATTTTCGATTGAAATATTCAATGTTCACTTAACAGGTGTTTCTTTATCCAAGATGCGACCCTGCTTTTGAGAATTCTCAGAAATCGAATGGACTCATTATTTAATTGTAAACCACAATTAAATAGACATTTTTTCATCTACTTTTTTCCCATAATTATTTGATTTTATACAAAAAAATTCTACACAAAAAAGCGTTGAGAATTTCATTTCCCTATTGTTTTTTTTTTCTTTTCGTGTGTGACTAATAAGGTACTGGTTTTTGTTAGAATAGTTGCCGTGAATGTACTTTTTTTTTTTTGCATTTTATATCTGAATAAACTTGATACAAACATTTACACATAAATAATGTTGGATATTTGTATTATAAATTCTGGTGATGTTACAATTTCATCGAAAAAAAATAACATTTACAATGGTTATGGTTAGGAGTATATAAACAATACAACAGCGTGCGTCAAGCACAAGTAATAGCAACAACAGAGTCGTCAAGCAAGAACAGATTTCAGCAGCATCGAGCGCTTGATTGCAGCAGCAACCACCAGGTAGTAGTGGCAGCCCACTGTGACTAGCACCTGCATTATGAATTCAATTTTTACCTTTAGGGACCAATGAACAAAACTGTTGGAATTGTTTAGAGGTTTATAATATAATCTGTGGAAAAAAAAGAAAAAGAAATATTAGGAGAGCCATAAATTGTTCCCTCTGTCTTATGAAAACTTATTATAGTGCATGAAAACTACAAACAAATGTAGAAGATACATTTCTTTTCAATGGAGAGAGGAAAGCAAAGGGGATAAGAGAGGGAATTGCAATTTCACGCCTGAAACTTCACAGGACATGAACTTGCCATAATATACGCATTTGGAAGAGCTCTGTATGCCACAAGTTGTAGAAAATAATTATTGAGGCCCACAAAAGTTACAAAGGTTACTACAATAGCTAAATTAAGGGATAAAAGATTCTAACAATGATTCAAATGTACCAAATACATTGTCAGAAGAAAAATATCAGATTAAACAAACACATATAGCCTATGTTGCACAACCTCAAATTTAGGTGTCATATCTAAGTAAGGATCGGAGGATATGATCCTTCAATTCCAAAAATAGCAGATACGGGGAAACGGTCAAAAGAGTGTCTTCAATTCCAAAAATAGTCAGACACGCGATACTCATGGTGGAGGAGAGTTCGGGGTAACACAACATATAGCATTCTGCCTAATAACCCTAGTGTTGTGTAAATAAAATAAATGAAAGTCACCCTTGCTTTTATGAACAAGTTAACGCTAAGTGAGTCATCTTAAACATTTCAGCCATGCATTGAATATCTTCCCTTGATTTTATGAAAGCATGAAATTTCTACAGAACCATAACCTGACAAACATCTATATATCCCAATAAACACCCCTTCCCTCATCACTCCTCACACAATCAAATTATATGAAGGTTTCTTCAAAAATATTTGTAACCTTAAAAGTTCAAACCTGCAATATATAATTAAAGAGGTAGAAGAATGTACGAAAACAATTATTTCATTGATAATTTATGAGTTACAACTCTCGTATATCTCTTGATTCCTCTCTCCAAAGGGCTAGGGTTTTGATATTTGTTTGTAGTACGAGACCATGTCTATTTAAGGCATACTTGTACCTACAATGTTTGGTGGTAGGGAGGAGATGGAGTCTCTTTTACTTATTCCACCTGAGCCTAATTAAACCCTAAAAACAACTCTCTTTATATAAAATGTCGTTGAGTGGTAAACAAGATAACTATCAAATTATGAGATCTTGAAGAAAAATATCTTATTTTTTTGATATCATCTCCTTATTTACATATATCTGACACCTAATAATTAACAAAATAAGCGCCATAGGCAAAAAGTTCAATATAATCTTCGGGGTTTGACTTTCTAGGCACTCGCATCGTATAGGGGGGCTTTTCCATAGATCTCGTGATTTTATTTGGAAATTTTTTCACAATTTTCACATCCTTTGCAAGAGAAGAAATGAACCAATCAACATAAAAAATGTCGGCAAAGTCACTGCACATTGAGGATTTTAGACATGAGACAATTAATTAATGGTCACATTAGTATTGAGAGACACAAAGTTCATTTTAATTAGTAAAAAAAAATAAAAACCCCGCATACCTATCATCTTTCCAATAGGAATTGTGGTCCAGTAAGGAAACAACCAGAGTTGCATCAAGTATTCTAACCACAGCTACAACATCAGTTATCTGTACAAAAATAAGACTATAAATCCCAACAGAAAGAAAGTGACAATAATAGGAAAATTAAATGAGTATAGTTTATATCCTGCATATGGAAACATGAAGAGTAAAGAATGAAACACCTCCACTCACCCCAGCGATAAGCAGATAGCCATTTGAAAATCTGTGTGGGATAGCAGCTGCATCAAACCACGCTGTATTATAGGAGGTACATTAATGAAAAAACCCAACTTAATTCCAAGTTAAATTTAATACCATTCCAGATTTGAAAAAAAACGCACAAAAATCCAAGTCCATACAATACTTGAAGATGAAATTGCACAGTAAAGTTCTGATGGTGCAGGGTGAATTGATAGGGAAGAAATCAAACAGCTAAAGTTGGCAATCACAAACAGAAGGGCAAGGCTTTACTTTACAGAAGATATTTTTCCAACATCCTCTGTTTCTTAATTATTATTATCCAAAAATATATGGAGCATTCTTTAACAAATGCCATTACAAAGTTCTCAAGAATAGAGAATATCAAAAATTTAGGCCATACCCAACAAAACGCAGCACACATTTCACCTAATTTAAACAGAATAAGAAAAAACAGAGAGAAAGAGTTATACAGGCACGAAAGAGAAACTAAGCCAAACAAGATTATGGTTTGCGAATTGCGAGCCAATCGTAGAGAATGGTACCAAAGATTTTCACTGGGTGTACTTCTCGTCCATTTTTAGCTCTCCTTCCTTCCCAGCCCTTCCTCCTATCTTTCTCCGTCATCTCTCTCTGAGTTTTTTCTGTGTTTTTGGTTTCCCACTGATTCTCAATTAACAGTCTCCTTATCCAAAATCGATAATTTCACTATCAAAATCGAACAGAAAAAAACGAACTAACATCACAAAAAATAAACCTAATTTTGCGAAAAATATAACTACAGATAACAAATTGAGGGAAAAGATTAAGAGGTTATTGATCAAGGAGGTCGAGAAGAAGCTCCAGATCATCACTTCCTTCCTCGCTCGTTATCGCCCCCATTTCTCTCTCTGTAATGCTTTCTCTCTCCTCTGGTTTTGAAGCCTAAAAACGGAAAGTGAGACTGAATGAGTGAGGACATATATATATATATATATATATATATATATATATATATATATATATATATATATATATATATATATATATATATATATGTTGAAAGGAGCTAAGCTTATTACATCCTAACAACTTTCTCACAGAATTGCATTATCATAACAAACTATCTAAAAACTTCTTGCTGAGGTGGACGAGGCCTAACAACTTCTTGCTGAGCTTAACTTCTGTGATTAATTGCCCTGCATCTGCTGCTGCTAGATTAAGCTTGAACCAAATCACCTAACTGGGAATATAAACTAACAAACTGTGCTGATTTTTCTTCAAGCAACTGAGTCTGTAAGTTCAGAATCAGCAGTTGTATGTAAAGATGGGTGTAACCTAAACCAGTTGGCAACTGTATTCATATGTTATCCTATCCACGACATTATATGTGAGCTCCATCCACGGTTTTCATGGCATTCCTTGTGCTCTTTGAGAATGATTTAGGGTCATTTATGTGTCAACCTTTTAGCAGGAACAAAAGGAAGCCCAAACCTGAGATCAATCAGTGGATACCTTAAAGAGTTTTAATCTCTCTAGCTAATTTTGCATCAGCATTAAATAATTACTTGATACTTTGTATATGAAGAGAGTACACTGATAACATGAAAGCGAATTACAAGATTGAAGCCATTTGCAACGAGAATGGATCATAATATAGGTAGCAAATGTATCACCTCACCTCTTTGGTCTTTATACTAGTATAATGCTTTTATGAAAAAAGAAAAAAAAAAAAAAGAAAGACAATGAAAATCACAGAAACATTGTGACTTATCCCTCATATTGAGCAACAGTGGTTGCAGCAGCCGCCACTGCAGGTGGAATCTCAGCTTCAGGATCGTAATCTTCATGGCAGCAGATGAATGAATTGAACCTATGCATGTGGCGACGGCACTCAGGGCAAAGCATACTTTTTGGAATTCTCACACTAGAGGGGAACTCAATCCTATGACATGGATATTCCTTCATATGAAGTTCTTTGTAATGACTTCCAAACCCCACTTCGAATCCCTCTCTTATAGCACGTTCCTTCCATATCTCCATTTCTTGAAGAGCATTCAGAGCAAGCTTACCCTGACCGTGGACCACAATTGTAGAGCCTTTGGCAAGGACTGCCCAGCCACCATGAGATTTGTCATGGCTGTGGAGCCTTTGTATCTCTTGCAGTATGATATCTGCATGGTCATGGACTTTCCCTAGTTGAATCTTTGAGAAGATCATGCTCTCAATTCTTGTCCAAAAATACCAAACAAAGGTCGGGTCTTGCCAGCAATGGCTCAGTTGTTCTATTGTTATAGCTGCACAAACCTTACGTACCAGTTCTTTGTTATGGCTCCTGCCAACATAGACCATTTCAAGTGGAATTCGCAGAGCTCGCGATACAGTATGTGCCTCGTTTGTAAACTTTCTGATCCATTGTAGGTCATCTCCTCCATACAAAAAAATGTACTTCTCTTCTCTGATCTGTTTGTAGGAAAGTTAGAGGTTCCCTTGAAGTTAGTGTAGAAATAATTTACCAATAGTACTTTTGACAGGACTAAAGGTACTAAAATTAACATAGAATACTTGAAGCCATGACAAGAAGAACAAGAACCTACTATGAATGTTAGGATAATTTGTTGAGTTTGAGTTATGCAATCTTACCCTAATTATGAGTGGTTTTTCCCTTCATTTAGTCGCTGTAGACTAGTTTATCTGATTTATTAGCTTAAATTCTATTGATTCTCTATTGCAGTTTGTCTTGGATACTCAAGTTGCGAAAACACTTCTTTTAAGGTTTCCCTCTCCTGCTAAACAAGTAAGCTATTTACTGCACTAATGTCAGATTATCAGCTCCACCAGTTTTCTCTATGATCTAATTGCCTTCAAATCATTGAGCTGTTTTGATTGAGAGTCTCGTGGTTGAGCTTCCTTTTTTAAATTTTCTGCAACTAGTAATCTCGTCTTAAATTTTCATGGCTTTTGGAATTGTGGTAATGCAATACTCTTTACAAATTAACTTATCAAGAAACTGCATGTATGGGCATATGAATATTTCAATAATTCTCTTAAGGTGGGTAATTATATTGGACTTTGTGGGGGCTTCTGTGCTCTTGATGTGTATATAGGATTGAAGGGTTGTAAACATTCATATTACTATGAAAATTATGATTGTGTTTTTGTTATTGGTTTATACCAAATAGTAGTTAAGTACTCAAAGTTTGCCTGATTACATAATTTTCTAAAAAGCAGAACCTGTATGTTTGCAAGTAGGTGAATCATGCATAGTATATAGCTGGGAACTTGCTTAGATAGACAAAATAGCGAAGGAAACTTACCCAGTCTAGAATTTTTTGATCAATGCCGTCAACAAGCAGTTCAAGCCTCCATGTTTCCTGTTCCCAAAGAGCCTCCTCCCTTATGCTTGTGAATGGGAAAGCTTGGCTTTGCCAGATCCACATCATGTGGATTGCGTTTGGGCTCAGAACTTTTCCCAGAGGATCCAGCACCACAAGCATAGGCTTACCATGATAGTGCCAATCATCTTTAAGGAACTTGATGACTGCATTTTCGATTATTGAAGGATGATGAACAGAATACCAGGGCATTGAGGCTTTCAGAGTCTCAAGCTTTACTTCCATGGCATCTGTCCATTGGAGAGAACGGTCAATGACTGGCATCCAGACAATCTCATATTCGTGGACCTTCGATTCATTGTAGCTTTGCTCAAGAATGAAGAGCTCTTCATGAGTGATATCGAGGCCTGATATGAGTAATAACACATTTTTCCTCCTCAACATCTCAAGGTGGACCTGCAAATTAGCAAACATTTAAGTACAGTTTCCTTGAATAGATAGCTATGTTTAACATAGCTATTGTATGGAAGGAATGATAGTTGATATATACTATGGGCTTAAGTTTCGAGCACAAACCCTTCTCTTTGCAGGACCATCATATATTGGAGATATATCATCATCAGCATAGATCAAGGTCTTCAGGACTTTCATGTTGTCAACATGAATTGTGTGGTAGATGATTTTCTTGATCATATTATAAGCGTCAATCTGTTTCTTCTCCTCTATATGAGAAAGTAATGTCCATCAGAGCTAAATAATATTTTAGGCATTATTGTACAGATATCATGCAAGATTAGAAGTAAGAAATTTGATGAATTGAGAAATGGCGAGGCACATGCTGTCTGACCTATAAGCCTGTACAAGTTGTCTAAGGTGCTCCTGAGATGATCATTGATAGTTTTAAGTTTGTGAGCCCAGTTGGAGAGCTCCCATGATTCAGCTGTGGCTGACATATGTCTGTCAAAAAGAAAATCTATTAGAAAACCTTGCGTTGTATCAGGCATCACATTATTTATAGTCAAAGCTTACCCGATTCCCTTGCTAGACATGGTTGTAATCTGGGTCGCAGCAGCCACAGCACTTCTGATTATCCAATAAACAGCTATTGGGAAATGCCTCATTGCAGCCTTGACTTCAGGATCTTCATCTGTGATATACATCGTAGGTAACTCTCCAAACTCAACAATGCACCTGGTTGTATCAAGCATGGCCTTTATTAGATTATTAGTGGCTTCAAACTGGTTCCTGTAGGCGCCTGCATGCTCCACGACCATAGGCAATTGCTTCATAAGTGCCATTGATTTTGCCAGGGCATTTCTAGAATAAATTTGGGCAAGAAGCCAGAAGTCTCCAAAAGTCATAGCAAATGCTGCTAATGTGAGCACCACCTTGGCTTCCCAAGAAAAGTGTGGCAGCATATTCAACACCGAGAGGGTGGTATTGTGTGCATCGTATCCACTCAGTAACTTACATGTCATCTGCATCAGTTTTATAGGTATTACTTACAGTAAACTAAAACCAATTTTAGGAAGTAATTCTCAGAAGAGGGAGCCCAGTTGATCTATTTAGATCAACAAATTAGATCAACAAAATTTGTCAATCTATGCTTAGTCACTGCTTAATCATCAAAGTAGACATTAATATTTCATTGAGCTTCAACCTTCCTTCCACCGAAACCTCCCACTTCCTTCCACCGACAGTCCGACACCACCAATTCCACCATGCTGACACCATCTGCATCACCTCCTCCTTCCACCGACACCATCTGCATTATTTCCACCTTTCACCGAAACCATCATCTTCTACCGACGACATCACGGCGGCTTTGCCACCAAATTAAACGAAACCCCTATGTTAAAAAGGTGAAATTAAGGGCATGGTTAATCCTAAAGGGAAGGGGTGCTATCCTCCTACATTAATGCTACCCTTGAAGCTTCAATTTCTGTCGGAAAATTTTGCAAATCGCCATCCATTTATAAAAATTAAAAAAAGGATGTCGTACCGTGCTCACCACCGATGGTGGTTGCCGACAACAGGGGTGTCATAGTGGTGGTGATTGTGGTCGCTGCCTTAGGCCATGAGGCTTGGTGTTTATGGTGGTAAGTTTGCCGTTCAACTGGAAGATGGAGATGGTGATGGTGATTTGGCAATATTGCCTAATCATTCTTATGCTTTTACCAAATTGTCCTATACTAAATGAAAGAAAAACCAAAAATGCGATTGACAATTTTTGTTGATCTCGTATTTCCTCATTCTCAGAAAACAGGACACATTCTTGTGCATGTAATTAACTAAAAATGCGTTTCAACTATATGCTAATAAAGGTGAAAACAGGGAACCTGTTTTATGTTTAGATAAAGCTGCAACCACTGAATACTTGGATCTTATATTAGGCGGTTTATAGAGATATTAGATATAACAGTTCAGGAAAAAAGTATGACAAATACCTCAGAGGATATCCTTTCAACAATGAGTGGCAAATCAGGAACTTCTTGAAGACCGTCAAGGGTAAGTCTGCTTCCTTGGGCATCCCTCTGACCCTGTAAACAGATCAGAACACCGCTATCAGTAAACATGCAAGGTTTGCTATGAAAAAAACACTAATACAAAAATTTTGAAATCAGTTATTTGTTCGCAATACCATTGAAGACCTTTCAGTATTTTGAGTAGCATGGCGGATGATTTCCTCAACTAGATGGAAAAGAGGTCTGACATTAACATTTCGAGCATCAGGTTGGTGCAGCTGCTCAATCTGTTTGGAGAGGGCATTATCATCAGAGGTCAAGAAGATGCCTCCTCGTTCGTTACCCCTCAACAGAAGTGGCCTGATTATATCAGAAGGTAAAAAGTTTTTTTCAGCATCCCATGATAGTTTTGGTTGCTGAGGTTGTAACTGAGCTGATACTTTGGGAGTTATCGGATTCGGGGTGTTTGCCATGGTGGCTATAAAAGTTGTTAAACACTTTTGGTTGGTTTAGAAATGTCAAAACTGAGAATGGCTTGTGTGTTGCGTTTGTTGCTTACTGCTCTTTTATAGCATTGCAGGAATAAAGCAAAGTGAATCAACTTCCTTGCTTCCATTGAAGTTTAGTTTGCAAGAATATTCTTCGTTTGTTTAATGAAATACTTAGATTTTGTCTCTCAATCACCTTTTACTTTTCACTGTGAGATTCTGGACTTGCGGTTGTTAATCAACACAATAATTTCCCTTAATTGATGGTTTTTTTCTCGTGTTTGTGCTCGAAGTTAACAGATTGGAGACTGGTTCAAGGACAATTAGTTAAATGCAGTGTTGTGAAAGGCAGAGTGTCAGAGGAATTGCTTAGTTGATTTGGTTTGCTCGATGCTCTAATTAACTTCAATCTCAATATTCTCCAGTTTGGTAGGTAAAACCACAGTAGAGCAAAGAACAAAAGATTCCATACCCTTGCTTTTTCCCCCGTTTTGGAAAGGGAAACGAATTCTTGCTTTTGTAACAAATGTCAAATGACTTAATTAGATTGATGTAACAAGCACGAGTAACGTTAATAAAAGTGAATATAGTTTTTTCACAAATTTTGTGTGGAGGAGTTACTTATTCAGGGGTTACTCGATCGGTCAGGGATTATTCATTTAGGGGTTACTCGGTCAGTCATGGTTATTTGGTCAGGGGTTACTCTCACACAGGAAACGCACTAAGTAGCCCCTAAATAAGTAACCCTTAACCGACTGATTAACCCCTAAATAAGTAACCCCTACCACACAGAAAAAACACCTAGTATTTATTATTATTATTATTATTATTATTATTATTATTATTATTATTATGTTTCTTAACCAAAAAAGTGACTATAAACCATATACGCACTAATTGTCATTCAATAAATCTACATGAGTAGTGTAAATATTCGTTCGTCTCCCTATTGTGGACTCGTTAGTTTTTGTTACTGTAGTATGGTTGTTTGTTTTTCGTTAGGGTTTATTTGTATGTCTGGTTATCAAAATAGTTACCCTATTATCAGTTCGTTAATAAACATTTGTTCATAATCGCAACGGTTGTCGAATTTTCAAATGCATTCAAGCTAATCATATAATAATCATCCTTACCGCTACTACAAATCGTTAGACTGTCTCTCCGAAAAGGCTGCATTATTCTGCGATGTGTGCGACGGATGTATGAGAGTGTAAGATTTTTTCAACGATCATAGCTTTGATGAAAGAAAGTTTTATAAGATTTTATTTATTTGTTAATTTAGATTTCATTTGTAGATATCAGGTGACTTTTTATTAATGAAATGATTTTGTTTAAAAAAAAAACTTGTCCTTCAATATTCTAAAATTGTATGAAGGGTGGTCTTAAACATTTTAGAGGCTTTGTTATTTACCTAAAAAATGGGATCCAGTAATAATAATTGATTAAATAAAAAACATTTTAAAATTTTATCATATTACAATTATAGGAAAAATTGGTAATACCCTCTAAATTTACGATTATTTAGAAATAATCGATAGTTGGAATTAATTAAAGTAAAATGGCCCAAAGTTGAAATTAGTATTACCAATTTTTCCAAAATTATAATATTCTTAACCACCAAATTAAACCAAGAAGTCAAGAACCCAAACTTTATTTTAATTGTAAATAAATGACATAATGACATCCCAAACTATTATTAGCCTTCTACTTAAGATGTCAATATAACACATTAGCATGTGAATGAAAGTGAAGAAAGGACATAAAGCCCTAATAATCTGATATGGCTCGATATCAATCTTCTATGCTCCAATTTTCCAATTAGCCTTTGCCCATTGTTCTAACTTTAAAATTGAATAACAACTAGATAATAGGCCATTTATACAAAAAAAATTGAAGGAAAAAAAAATAAAAAAAATTCCAAAGGTAATGTCATAATATACCAGATAGCTATTCTTTACACTCTTCACCTCCTTGGTTGAACAATTTTCAGCAACAAAATACCCAAAAGACAGTTGTTATTGCAATTAAAATACCCTTTCAAAAGAAAAAAATAAAATAAAAATTGCAATTGAAATGTGAAGTATAAATTATATAATTTTCTTTTTTTTTTCTTTTTCCCTCAAAAGTAAAATAAGAAAACTAAATTGGTTATTTTTTTACGAAGGGGTTAAAATTAGGGATGTCAGTGGGGCTGGTCAAGTAGGAGACCCGCCCCATCATCGACCCAATGGGGCGGAGATGGGTCCCAATTTGGCGGGTGGTGGGGCGGGGATGGGGATAAAAACCATACCCACCATTGGTGATGGGGCAAGGGTGGTTTTTAGGTTGTACCCGCCCCATCCCCACCCTATACCCATCTATATATTTTTAAAATAATTGTATACTTTTATACTATTTCATATAAAATAATTATGTAAAATAAAGTAGTAAAATATAACACATTATAATATACTTATATTATAAAAAAAAAGGAAAAATTGTTCGGTATAATCCCACCTTTGGAGCATTCGCTAAAAATAATTCCACCTTTACCCCTAATCTGCTTCCAATGGTCCCAAGTGACCGATTATTGGTTAAAAAGGTAATTTTTTTGTTTGGCAGTTTGAAGTACATGTGTCACCATACAATTTGTCTAAAATTTTAAATTAAAAAAAATGAATTTTAAAAAAAGGGGGAGTCAGCCACCCACCAGCTCCAGCCACCACACTCGATCGCCGAATTGCAGAAACCATTAGATCGGAGCTTGCGTCGTCGTCGCCGTCGCTGTCCCTATGATCCGTTCACCAGTTGTCGTGAGGGATACGACGGGATATGTTTCGAAGGTGTTTGGTTTGGTGGTTCAAGGGGAGGGGTACGACAGTTGGCGCAGCACGGCGCATCGCAACGACGCTGAGGGGCCGGTAGGCGGTCCAGGCTGGTGGGAGTGGGCTGTCGTGATAGGTGGTTAGGTTGGTGGGGGCGGTTTTCTATTATTTTTCAAAGGTGTTTGGTGGTTCAGAGAATCAGGGGAAAGGAAGAGGGTTCAAGCGTGCTGGGTCGGCGCCGGCGCTGCTGCTAGGGTTTGGGGTCTGGGTGACAGGAGCAACGGGGCAGGGTGTCAGGGGCGGTTGGGAAGGCTTGGGCTGGTGGTGGTTTTTAAATAATTATTAACTTTATTTATTTTTTCTTTACAAAAAAATTTCACATTTTTAAATTTTTTTTTTTTATTTTTTTTAACAAATTACAGTCCGACACGGATCAAGTAACTTGTTATAACAAATTAGATGACCGTTTGGGACCATTTGAGCGGATTGATATCAAAATTGGGATTATTTAAAAATAACCCAAAGGTGGGATTATTTTTAGCAGACACCCAAGGATTATTCCGGGCAATTTTTCCTAAATTTTTTGAAAATGTGTAATACTTCATAAACAATGTTTTTAGTTTGTTGTAATCTAAATTATGTAGTGTTGTTGTATTTGGGAGGCAGGGATTAAGCGGGTCTTAGGTGAGGATTAGGTGGGGTGGATATCCAAGTGGGGGTGGGGCGGGGATGGTTTTAGAATTGGACCTGGCGGGGTGGGGATGGGGATGAGTTTTAGACCCGCCGCGGGGATGGGAATGAGAATGTTAGGCAGGGATGGGGATGGGAAAGCCAAAATCCACCCCGTCCTGCCCCGTTGACATCCCTAGTTGAAATTAAGTAGAAAATTAAAGACATATCTATACTTAGTATATAAAAACACAACCCCGTACTGCCACGTGTCCTCCTTTTCTTTTACCTTTCTTAATCATTCTCTTTCCTTAATCCCTTTTCCTTATGTTTTCATAGAACTTCTCTTCATCTCCCCCTTTATTTCTTAATAACTCTTTATATTTTGTAACTTATATTTTAATTCTACAAATTATATATCCTATTAAATCAAGTTCAAAACGTCAAAGGTTACATCATCTAAAGCACTCATGGGAGCTCGATTCCCGTAAAAAAAAAATAAAAAAAATATAAATTGCTAAACCTTCTCTTCTTCTCCCTCCATCTTTTAATTCAATTTATTCACATTCGTTGTTCAATTCATTGACCCCTTATCTTCCTTAATCACTCTCCTAATATAAATTCAAATTTTCAATAAAAAAAATTCACATCACCTAAGTTCCAAAATATAAAAAAAAACTAGAGAAATATTTCTCAAAATTCTATTTAAAATTTCTACAATAATGAAGATGATGATTGATAAGGAAAAAGTTGAGTCGGCAAAGAAGAAAGACTTGAATTTGACAAGAAAAATGAAGAGTTTCGCGCAAAAATATTATTGAAATTCCGTAGGATGACTTTGGTTGCTTGTTGTTTAAGGTAAAAACTACCCCAACACGTGGTCCAATCCCATAGTGACACGTGGCACAATTAAAGGGCAACAATGTCCCTATAGGAAGATGACACATGGCAACCCTAATAGCATCTGAATGAGAGAAAAGGCCTCCTTACATCAGGAGGCCTAAATCCCGAGAATGCCGCAAAATGGCAGCCCCAAAGGACACATGTCCTTACCTGATTGTGCCGCCAATCAGAATCCACCTTTTTAGGGCAGTAACCTAAAGTGGCACACATTCCCGCCCTTAAAAATACCCTAATCATTTATGATGGGAGGGGTGGATTAAGACATATCATTCAAGAACACTAAATAGCTCCAACTTTTCTCTACTTTCTCTCTCTACATTACTTCTTTTTCCGATCACTAACTTGATCGTCGGAGGCGAATATTCCGTTTGACGGAATATTCGTTATTTGCAGGCGTCCAAGACCGTCAGGCTGTATTCAAGACCTATATCTCAAGGGATTCCAAAAATACCCAAAATATTTGGCACCATCTGTAGGGATACACGTCTGAAATGGCTAAAGATGGTCAAACACCTGGTCCTGGTTAGGACGGGCACGTAGAGAATCTCATTGCAATAATCAACTTTAGTGATCTTTTGATCGCTTCATTTCATGAGGCAAAGGATCCACTTGTCATCGGTGCTTCTTTAAAAGCCGCCTTGGAAAGCTCCAAAAGAAGCTTGAGGGTAAGATCTCCTCTTCTTCTAGACATTTGTTCAGAAGAGAAAGAGAGGGTGTTCGAAAGAAACCCTAGGACAAGAAGGCCAACACTGAAGATGTTGGGAATACCCCATTCAGACAATATGCTAGGTCACCAAGGGTGCCTTGGATGAACTGATCTAGGTTACTTGAGAAAACACAGTCGGCTGGGGGGCAGACCAAGAAGCCTCAAAGGCAGCCAAACGAGACGTCCTAGCGCTGAAAAGATGCAAGAGACTATCTTCGGCACAAGCGGCAGGAGCAGGCACATTACACGGACACTGCCTCCACTCCTACCATGCCGGATGAATTCTACAACCATACTCTCTCCAAGCATACCAGCTCGGCCAGGACCAGCAGGAGTCAATCTCACCGTACTCCAACTCCAGTCTCA